ATTGGACCTGCTTCCATCTGCGACATGCATAACTGTCCTCCTTGTGAAACAGACCAGGTGGTACAACAGGGCTGGGCTCGTTTCAACGAGCCAATGAAGTTAGTGCCATTGTCTGAGCGGAGCTCCTTAACCTGTCCTCTTCTTGCAATAAAGCATCGCAAGGCATTTATGAGTGAATCTGTGTCCAAAGATGAAGCAACTTTAATATGCACTGCTCTTATCACCAAACAGGTAAAGATGACTGCATATCTTTTTACATTACTCCTTCCACGCCTGATGTTGAAAGGTCCAAAATAATCTACCCCGACATAACTGAAGGGAGGTTCATCTGGTGAAATTCTGTCTCCAGGCAAATCCACCATTTGTTGTTGACCGACAGCTCCATGCTGCCTGCGACAGACAACACATCTGGAATAGGATCCTTCTTATGGCAAACACTGGCAGAGAACCAATAGCGTTGATGTAACCTCAACAACACGTGGTTCCTACCACCATGGCCGACCTCTTGATGAGTATGGCGTATGATGAGGTCCGATATATGAAAATCTTTAGCTATAATAGCTGGGTGTTTACACTCTTCAGGCATGGCCGCCTTACTAAGCCAACCTCTGACTCTCAAAACGCCATCATCCAGTATTGGATTGAGCCTGTGTATGTGACTGTTTCCTTTCACAATCTCTCCCCTTTGGAGGCAAGAAAACTCTTCTCTGCACCTTCGTCTTTGACAGAACTTGATTATTTCCATTTCACTGTCTTTGATTTCTTCCAATGAGAGGTGACCACAACGCATCTTAGCATTCTTGGGTTGCTTCGCATTTGATGCAGACTGAGGAAAATGGGCATTGACTTGCTTCCTTTTCCTGATGTCCAATAACAAGGCCTTAAGCCTTAGTGTCCAGGCCATCACTCTTATGAGACGTGTCCAGGATGAGCTGCGGCTTATCAAACATGTTACAGCATTGTCTTTTTCTTGTTCCACAGAAACAATAGCAGATACCTTGACTTCTGGGCCTCCAGATAGCCCTCCCAAGTCATCTGGATCAGCAGGCCAGGCTTCCTTTGGTTGCACGAGAAATGGGGGACCATACATCCACATTTCATTCTTTAAAAAAGATTCCACTCTCACACCACTGGAGGCAAGGTCTGCAGGATTGTGTGTGGTAGATATATACCTCCATTGAGATGGCTTAGACATCTTAAGAATCTCTGAGACTGTTAGCTACAAAGACACGAAACCTTGTAGTATAATTTTTGATATATTTCAGAACAGAGGTACTGTCTGACCAAAAACCACCTAAAGTCTCCACTGGGCCACCATAGGAAAAGTCTGCATTTTCCTCTGGTACTCGAACCTGGTGAAACATAGCCTCACTGTCAGACATCAGAACAATAGGTTTCTTTCTGAACCTGGTCAAGAGTAAGGTCTCTTTGAAGGATGCTACACAATCAAAAACGACACTCATCTTCCTTTTTTTGAGGATGATATACCCCATGATGAAGGATATACCAAACCTTGCTATCACTGCGCTCCAAATCTGTGGCTGGCACTCTCTCTGCAAATGTGCTTGCTATGAGGTTGTTCATGAATGCAATGTAGTCCTTATGAAATGATGGCTCCCTTACAAACCTCCTATTCAGGTTAAGAATGCCTTGCTCAGCAACTATGCGATTGTTAGGCATGCTGATATTTCTGTCTTTAAGAGGCAAAGCAATGCTATAATGGCCACCCACCAGTTTCACAGATCTATCAGCCATTTCCAGGAATCTGGAATCCTCCCTTGACATCCCCAGCAGTTCATCTTGGTTGTTCTCTGGGAAGTCTGTCTTAAACTGCTTATTCCAGAGCTCGTCAAGTGTGATGGCTGAAATTCTATTGACTGTAACTGCCGACTGACACTCAAAACTATCACTGCATTCCCCAAGTGGCCCGTTTAGTGTCCAACCCAGCATTGTCTTGACAGCGTATGGCCCTCCATTTATGCTCCTGATAACCTCCAAAGGCTCCAAAGCACTGGGAACATCTGTGCCTATCAAAATCTCCACTGCATCTATTTCCGGCAAGCAAACATGTTTCAAGTGAGGCCATTTTCCCAAGACTTGCTGTCGTGGGATGTTGCTTCTATCAACAGGCATCTTATGTTGTACGAAAAATTTTGGTATTTCACAATACACATCAGTGTCCAATCCAGCACTCTCTTACTACTTGACTCTCAGCTACTATCTCTTGGCCCATCATGCACAGAAGAATCTTTGTTTTCCTCCCAGGGAGGCCCAGCTTATCCATTAGACCCACTGTACAGAATGATGCAGTTCTTCCTGGGTGTAAAAATGCGTATGTTTCAACTGCCCTTTGCCCCTTACTTGATTTGACTCTGACTGGTACGATGGCAAGTTTACAATCCTGGTCACTGGCCCCAGTGAGACCACTAGTTTATACTTCAACCATACCACTGTCCGCTGCCTTTCCTGAGATGTTCTTATCCTTCTCTGCCTCTGTTTTGTTTTCCTTTTGATGGATGTGCAACATGCTGGGGTGTCATGAGCCGACTGCTGTGCGCCACTTGTCTCTAAGCTTGTACGGTAGCTTCTTGATTACAGTGAGCATACTTGCTGATAAATTCAGATCACACAGATTATAAACATCTTTCATGGCATTACAACATCTACCTAAAAACAGACTGAATGCTTGTAAAGCCTTTGCATCCTCCAATTTAATTGATGGCCATGACAATATTTTATTTGTGTAAACCGATGCAATTACATGATCATTTCCAAAATGTTCATGGAGCAAAGCCTTTGCTGTAGCATATCCATTTCCATCAGTCATATGTTTGACAGCGTTTGATTAACTGTTGTGGCTGCCCCCTGGTATATCGCTCCAGGTAGTGAAGGCAGTTGACCCCATTGTTGGCCTTTTGTTCTATTGTTTGTTCAAATGACTGCATAAAGGCATGATATTGCAGTGGATTTCCATCAAAGATCTGAATGTCCCTTTTTGGCAGTGATGCTAGACTTTGCTGCTGCACCAACATTGATGTTATTTCCTTTTGTTTTTCCATTATAGACAGCATGTTATTTTCACTGAAAAGAGGGATGTTCCTGAAAGAGGGTACATTCGCATCTTTGAGATGAGACACTGGG